TTTTTTTTTCTCTTCTCTCCTCTCCCTTAAAAGCTTTGATTTTAAAGGTAGTTTTAATTGCATGTCGTAGTTCTTCACTATTGTTTTTCATTTACAGAGTAATCAGAAGATTTAGTCTCGTTCTTATGAACATCTGTGTTGTGTCTTAGGTTTAATTTTTTTTTTTTGTTTTACTTGTTCATGGTGGTTCACTTTTATTTTGATAATTATTTTATGAATGCAAAAATGTAAACATGCATTTACGCCATTCTATGTTGGCTTTTGATCATTTTTGTACACATATATGTTAGATTTCTTTGAGGAATTAACATACGCTTATAACTGCTTTTTTTGTATCTTTCTAGTGATAGTGGAACTCTGGTTATTGGAGCAAAACTAGGTGCAGTGTATCATCTTGAGAAACAGCATGAAACATACATTTTAATTTGGGAATTTTTTGAGATCAAAAAATTGTCTTTGAATCTATAAAGCTATTTGCATTAGAGAATTTTATATCAGTAAAATAATGGATGTAGAAGAAATTTAAAGAGACAAAAAATTTTAATATGGAATTTTTTGTTAATTTGTTTAATAATTTTTTTTTCAATTTGGGAAACGCTTCTTGCTTCATTAGTGTAGGTGCTTTTCTTTGTTGATATCATCTATAAGATACTGACTGAGTTTTTGTCACTAAGTCATTGTTATTTCGTAGTAACCAGCTATCAAAGTTTTATGACACCTTTGAAGAACTTTTTCGTAATAGTGTTGTATTGTGACACGTAAAAATCAGTGTTTCTCACATGTTTATTCAAATTGTTTGAGAAACACGTGTGCTTTTTATAGTATGGAATAATACTTTTAAACAGTCGAGAATGCAAACAGCACCAACTAACCGGAATTGGCATTTGGATTTACTATTTCACTGCAAGGGGATTTATTTGGACTTTTCATTAAACTGTTAAATATCATTTTTTGCGAACATTGGGAGGTGTGAAGGCATTGAAAGTATTGGTATTCGTGGAAAAGCATTAAACGTTAGTATAAGATTGTTGGGGATCGAATAAGGTAATTGTATGCAACAGAAGGTTGCGCACAGCACTTTTAAAACTTAATTTTTACTGGAAGATTGTATATATGTGAAACTTCAAACAAGGCAGCTTTTATTTCTGAAGAAAGTATTTTTTGTGAACTTTTGCTTCTTGTATATGAAACCTTAATTCAGTTTCATTATGTATAATATACCCCACAGTGTGTGTAACTTTTAGAACGTTTCTTCGGTGAATGCCAGTGCAAATTTCGGTTTATATTTAGATGGCTTGTCACACATCTCGAACATTTTTGAAGTTATTTTCTCGCTGTTTGGACCGATATGCGTGTCGATGGCAGCCTTTGGTGCGAATGTCTTCGGGTAAATTTTTTTAATTTACACTTCCTGTCTTTATTTAGATTTATGGATTTTTCTGCCTGGTTTTTTGATTCTGCTGACTTAACAGCTTCAGTTTTGCGAAAGATTCTTGCACTGTGTTTCTTTATTTAGACAGCTAAGTTTTTTCCAAAAGAATTTGACATCATTTACTTTGGCCTGTTGCTTACTTGATGCGAGAGCATATTTTTTACTTAGAATTCAGTTACTTTAAGTTTTAAGAACAAAACATAGTACATACTTGCGTTCGCTTTGACACTTTTGCCTCTGTCTAGGGGAGAACAGCTTGTTTCAAGTGTGTTGAGACGGAATATCATTGGGAAATGTCTTAGTGATTTCTTTTTTTTGTGATTTCTGAAGGCCTTGCTGTCATTTACGATTTATTATCACATATTTTAAGATTTGGAAGTTTGAAGTTCCTTCATCAAAGCTACTAGAGCTTTGTTCTGTGAAGTTTCTTCTTTATAGTCATGTATTTACCACTGTCGTTATGTGGTTGATATTTTTGTTTTAAGTTGTTTGCCATTTCAGAGCCGAGTGGAGTCCCTTTAGAAGCGGGAGCTCCTTCTCCTTTACCATTGGAAAACAGAATTTTGTCTGAGAAAGTGCAGCGCTTAGTAGACGAAATTACCGGCCTGACTTTGTTGGAAGTTTCTGATTTGAACCGTGCCTTAAAAAAGAAGCTTAATTTGCCTGACGTTCCCGTAATGTCTCCTGGTATATTTTCCACAATGAGTCAGGCACCACAAGGTGATATTTTTGTTTTAATAGCTTTTTAAATTTTTGAGAATTGAGAATTTATTTGAAAGAGAGATTATTTTTTAGGCTTCCATTTTTTTCTCTCTATTGAGAGTGATGAAATTTGAAGTGAGAGGCTACTTTTCTAAATTTTTTTGTAGAAAAAGGGAATTATAGGAAAGGTAAAAGTCTGTCATCATCATATCGTTAGAATTAGTTATTTAAGAAGGTTGCATAAGAATTAAATGTACTATGTAAAGTAATGGGAGTCTAGTTTTTGAGAGTAATATATTTACTATGAAGAGCGGTTTTCTTAGCTTCGATTTTTATTATACTGCTCAGTTTAATTTTTTCTTTTTTTGGGACTTTAGCTGACGTTTATTAATCAGTTTTCATAAATTCTCTGTATGCTGTTTCATTGAAAGGTCAGAACTTATTATTACTCCTTTTAAAAATTTCACTTATGGGTTCCTGCTTCGTTATTTATGTAATGGTACTTTTTAAAAAGGTTCAGGAGTTAGAATTCAGAGTTATTGATGTTTATTTTGACCGCTGAGTGGGTCATATTCAGAGTTATAAACTGTAATTTCTTGTTTTTTCTACAAATTCGTAAACACATTGGATATTTTCTTCTGAAACATTAGCTTAATAATTCCTGACTGTTTTTGGTGATGAGGGAAGGGTATCAGAATCTTGAGTATCAGATGAACGGCACAGCAGAGAGCTAGAGTTGAATCAAGTTTTAAAGATTTCTAAGAAATATTTGCCAATTCTAATTATTTTTAAGTTTGGAATAGGGGAAGAAAAGTCGATCATTTGGTTGTTAAACAGTTGTTTATTGTTCTATGGGATGAATTACTAAACTAATCTTATAATCAGTGTGTGAAGAAATAATTTTGTTGATGGTATGTAGCTGCTTTAGCAAATAGTTTAGAATTTTTTTTGTTTCATTGTTATTCATTTGCTACTGTTACTTCGTTTTTTATCTTTTTGCAT